GGGGGGGGGGGGGGGGGGGGGTGGATTGTGAGATCCCACATCGATTGGAGAAAGAAACGAGTGCCAGCAAGGAAGCTGAGCCTCAAAGGGGGGTGGATCATGAGATCCCACATCGCTGGCCCTGAAGGGGGGTGGATCATGAGATCCCTTGAGGGGAAGCCCGGGAGGGAAAGTCTGAAGAGGACAATATCTGCTAACGGTGGACTTGGGTTGTTACAAATGATATCAGAGCCAGACACCAGACGATGTGCTAGATGCTGGCCGTGAAAGGGGGTGGATTGTGAGATCCCACATTGATTGGAGAAGGGAACGAGTGTCTTTGAGGACGTTGAGTCTCGAAGGGGGGTGGATCATGAGATCCCACATCGGTTGGAAAGAGGAACGAAACATTCCTTATAAGGGTGTGGAAACCTCTCCCTATTAGATGCGTTTTCAAATCGTGAGACTGACGATGATACGTAACGGATCAAAGCGGACAATTTCTGTTAGTAATGGGTTTAGGCTGTTACAAAAGGTATTAGAGTTAGACACCGAGCGGTGTACCTGTGAGAACGCTGGCCCCAAGGGGGGTGGATTGTGAGATCCCATATCAGTTGGAGAGGGGAACAAAACATTCCTTATAAGGGTGTGAAAACCTCTCCCTAGTAGACGTGTTCTAAAATCGTGAGGCTAACGACAATATCTGCTAGCGGTGGGCTTGGCCTGTTACATTCGGTTCTCCCATTATAACTTCTTTTCTTGCAGGTGGCACCTTATAACCCTGCTATCACTCCTACTAGCTCTTTGGACTTCAAGGGAAGAATGGGCGAATCACATTATAGTCTTAAAACGTCCACGGAACTGTTAAAAGTACTAAACCGAATCTGGAGTTTAGAAGAGCAACATGCGTCGAATATAGCTTTGATAAAAGCATTAAAAACCGAGCTTGACCATGGTCGTGTCAAGATGAAAGAGCTGGTTCGACAACGACAAGCTGATCGGCACGAGATGGATGAATTAATTAAGGAAATCACAGAAGACAAACTAGCTAGAAAAAACAAGGAAGAAGATCGTATCAAGGCTGCAATTCAATCCGTGAGAGACGAACTTGAAAACGAGAGGAAGTTAAGGAAACGATCCGAGAGCCTACATAGGAAGTTCGCTCGAGATCTCTCCGAGACGAAATCCTCTCTTGTGAATGCTCTAAACGAGATAGAAAGAGAAAGAAAGTCTAGGATGCTATTAGAGGATCTCTGTGATGAATTTGCCAAGGGTATAAAACATTATGAGAATCTGGTGCATGGCTTAAAACCGAAATCTGATCGGATATGCTCGGGAAGAGCTGACCGTGATGGTTTAGTTCTCGAAATCTCGGAAGCTTGGCTCGATGAAAGGATGCAGATGCAACAAGAACACAACGATACCAATGTCGGGATGTCTGTCGTGGAGAAATTACAACTCGACATAGAAAGCTTTCTTGAAGCGAAACGAAATGATGTCAATGATAGCAAGAATGACCAATTGTTAAGAGACCGTCGGAGCTCGCTTGAATCAGTCCCCTTGAATGAGGCTGCCAGTGCGCCTCAAGCTGGGGACGACGACGATGACGACGACGATTCTCAAGATACGGATTCACATTGTTTCGAGTTAAACAAGCCAAATAACAGCAATACGATGACTCACGAAAACAAGAACGCAGAAGATCATGTTGTCGAAACCGACACCCAAAGAAAACTGGGGTCTGATGAGAGGTCGAAAAGCCGAACTCCGTCCAGCTTGCAAGTAAGGTTTGAAGAACAGGTGTCATGGGCAAGATCTATTGGAAACAAGAAGGAACAAGTAAAAGGCGAAGCGTTACCGAGCTGCCAAGACGTCGATGGTGGAAGTAACGAGAAAAGAAACAATCACCACTCGATCCACGGCTCGAATGTGCATCCTGAAGATGGTTATGGTGAGGCCTCCTGCAGCAACTCAGGGTGGAGGAATCAAGCAAGTCCAGTGAGACAATGGACAATGGCAGCTCCAGAAATCAACACAACACAGTCGTTGTCGTCGAAACTGCCTCCCAGACTTAAGGAGAACACGCTGCACGCCAAGCTTCTCGAAGCAAGGTCGAAGGCGAGTCGTCAACGGTTAAAACTTTTCAAGTGATTTGCTTGTGCAGACTTTGAAACCATTGCTCGTGTTGGATCCTACTTTTTTTTAACACCCGAATGCATAGTATATATATATATAAGTAAGAACAATTATTTTCATTTGTACGAGACAATTTTTTGTGAAATCATCTTCATTGGTACGAGGGTTTAAGATCAAAGTGAACAATATCACATCTAGAGATATTCAACGTCTCGTGATCCAGTCTACTTTTTAAAAAAATAAATTAAATAACGTTAATTAATTTCTAATTTTTATTTTTTAAAAAATCTACAACCAAATTAGATAACTCAAATTTAAGATATTTACTATTTTAATTTAATTACGGTTTTTTTTCCAATATGATATTTGAATAAATAAATTAAAATTAAATAATGGCATTTTAATTTTAGTAGCATATTCTTCTTCGGTCGAGACATTTTAGTCGATAAATTAATTAAAATTAAAGATCATTTACTCGGACTTGCTCCAAATGGAGTCGGGAATCCCGATTAAATAGAGAATGAGAGAGGGAATAGAGAACAGGACAAGAGCGAAATTGTATTCTCCGTTTCCTCCCCGTTACAATTTCATGATTTTCTATAAATTATCCATCATTTTATTTAATTTTTATACCTTATTTTGGCTAATAAACGAAAATATTATTAAATATTTAAAAAAAATCGAAAAAGACTGTTGTAATATTAAAAGTTAATTTTTATTATAAATTATATTATTAGAACGTTATATTATTATTATTATTATTTTTTGTTTAAAAAATTATATTATAAAACGAAGAGTGATCAGCAAATTAAACTAAACCCTCAACCAATAGTTAACTAACCATGGTCAAATAGACTGGTTTACAATAGGACATCCAACCAAAGTTGATAAGCTCCAATATTCTAGGACGACAATATTAACATTATTAATTTCGTAAAATTACATCATCACACTACATTACACGAACGACTATATTTATAGAACGAAATCGCATCAAGATTAAGTATGAACCCTTCAATGTCGTTTTTCCTTCTAAAGTTGGTTACGAGCTCGACGTCAAGAAAAATTATATTAAATTCAAACTTTTAATCAATTTTAAAAAATAGAGATTGTGAAAAAAAAAAGAAATTCAATTTTAATTATTTTCTTTAAGAAGCAAAATGATTACCAAATTGACTTTATAAACACCAAAATAAAAAAAGAAAAAAGAAAAAGAAAATCATCATAAGATTGAAAAAATGGGTTTTTTTTTCACAAAATAAAATAAAATTGTTTTTGTCAAGAACATAAATGTATTGATTTCAAACCTTAAAATTGGCTTAAAAAAAACATAATTTCCAGCTAAAACCCATTTTTGAAGCCATAATTTCAAATCTAAACTTTCCAACTCAATGTTACTCAAAGAACCAAACATAGATATTATTAAATCCAACAACTTTTCATTTGTTTTGTTTCTTTTTTTAAAACTTTTCAAACATGAGCTAATTTTCAAATTTTGAGTTTAAATAAGCAAAAATAAAATAAAATAAATAAAGAAAATTTACCCACTTCTACCAAATATTGTTGTGTTCGTGCTTTATGTGCTCGGTTTTCCCTCAAAGTTTAAAACAATTCCACTGGAGAGAGTTTCTACATCATTGCAAAAAATGTTTCATTTCTCCCTCCAATCGATGTAGGATCTCACCGTCCACTCCCTTAGGTGCTAATGTCTTTGTTGGCACACAGCTCGCTCGGTATCTGACTTTGATACAATTTGTAGCAGTGTCAAGTCCACCTCTAACAAATATCCTCTCCTCAATTGATATGAGGTTTCTACACAGAGAGCCTCTTCAAACCCTATGGCCTTCTTGAACCTATTAAGAAAGCATAAACATAAAAACAAGAAAAATGAGGTAATTTAGATGAGGGATTTCTTTGTTTTTATCTTATAAATGCATTTAAATTCCAAAAAAAAAAGAACTTTTACATAATTAAAATGAAATTAATATCCTTAAATCCACCTTAAACAACACAAAAAAGAAACTAACCAGACAAAGAGAAGAACAAAACAAAAACAAAACATTAAGACCAATACCCAAGAATGGGAAGAGGGTGGTGGTAACATAAAATGTCTGGGAACTTGTTGCAGCAATATGACCAATACCCAAGAAGCTATGGCGTCGAAGCTCGTGTCTGTCCAGTAAAAACCCTTTCTTTTTACTGCTCTGTAAAAAATATTCCTTCAATTTTCAAGAACCCTAATCCTTACCCATTAACCCAATACTGAATCAACCTCAAAACTTTCTTCAAATGGGTAATTCCGGCTCAAATCTGACTCCAACCACACCATCAATGCTGGTGAAAAACATAAAAAAGACAAGATTTTTAACATCTTTTCAACATAATACCCTAATTATGAAATTGGGTCTTCGATTGTTCGACCGATCAAACGAAGATTTCAATAAAAAAATAAATAAACGGATAAAATCAAAAGGGTAAAAGGAAAGGGAGCTCCCTTCAGTCCAAGTATAGGAAGCTTAAGATTCAATTTGTCTCCCGCATCATTCATTCGTTTACTGAATCGGAGACTCGGGTTTTTGACTCAGTATTAGAACGAATGAGTCGGCAGCTAATTAAACCCTACCGCCACCCATGAGTGGACTGAAGAAAGCTCTCTTAACCCTCACAAAATATCAAACCCGACCAACGCCAACAACCGAAAAAAAAAAACCCTAAAATCAGAGAGAAAAAGAGACCCTTTAAAGAATATAATGATATGAAGATGAAGAAACTGATCATGAATCCCACGAAGACGAGGAAAAGGGGTTTATAAAGATAAGGGAGAGAGAGAGAGAAAAAAAATAAAAAAAAAAAACATTAAAAAGAACCCTAATCTCTACTTTACAAAATTCAAATAAAAACTTTAGTCTAATTTCATTAATAACACCTAACAAAGAGAGAGAAAGAAATGTTATATAGTTTTAATATCATACATTTTTGTATAACATAAGCTTTTGCATCATATAATTTATAAACTATGAAAATGAGCTAGAGATGCTAGTACAAGGCTAGTGTCCCAAGGGTTTATGTTTATGATGGGACAAATATAAATAATTGGGTATTTATTTATTTATTTGGACCACAAAAATCCTCACTTTAAAATATTTTTTAATGTTATCATGATGTAGCCATGGAGGTAAAGAGAAAGTAATAAAAGAATAAATATTATTATTATTGAAAAAGAAAAGAAAAAACACTATTTATTTAGTACTATGAGGGAAACACATGACTATAAAAGCATGTGAAATATTGACAAGTTCAAAAACATTATAGTACGACCAAACACTGTTTGGTTTGTGCGGCCAAGGTGATGGAAGTACAAGAACACACTGTAAAATTTTATTGTAATTTTTATTCCATCTCTGCAGGTGAAAAGACTAATCAAAATACAGATTCATCTCTGTCTCTCTCTCAGCTGAATTAGACGTAGGGTTTGTGTTCTTTTAACCAGCTTTACTAGCACGCCCACTCCAACCAAACTTTACTCCTTGGGTCTCTCATTCTCTTTCTCATAGGTTAGTCTGTTCTCGAGCGTTAACCGTATTCCTATTTCTACGTCATTTCAAGCTCTAAATAGTGCACGACGTGCTCTCTACTAAGCATAACTAGAATTCTCTCGATAAGCAACTACACTGTACAACCAGCTCTATGTAATAATCCAAACTCACCGCTACCAGATATTATCCTCTTTAAACTTTCTATTTTTCGTTTTTACTCAAGGTTTTTAAAACACGTCTATTAGGGAGAAGTTTTCACACGCTTATAAAGAATGTTTCGTCCTCTTCCCCAACTGATGTGGGATCTCACACTCTAAGGGGGTGATATTGCATTCCTATTATTTGATTGGTATTCAAAATTTGTGAGTTGATTAAGAAGTCGGTATTCGTATCTATGTTAGTAACCACGACTTTACACATTGGTATGATATTGTCCACTTTGAGCATAAGCTCTCGTGGCTTTATTTTTTGTTTCCTCAAAAGGTCTCGTACAACAGAGATAGTATTCCTTACTTAGAAACTCACGATCGTCCTCTTAATTAGCCATCGTGGGACTCCATCCCAAAAATCTTCAAGAAACTAAAGGTTATTCATATCGTTCGTTCTTAGCTAGTAATGGTGAGATTAGGGATTAAACCATCGATCTTTAGAATGATAATTTATATTTTAATTATTGAATTATGCTTAGATCAGTAAAATGTGTTTATATACCGATAAGGGTAATATTTTAAAATTCTCTTACGTACCTCTAACTATATAAAAATGTCGGCTACATTGGTTAACTTTTTCTACGATATCTCGAATTTAAAGTTGTCTTTGGTGTTATGTTTTTGAAAATTACTTTGAAAACTTTGAAAAATAACATTGGTAAAATGCAATAAATATAATATTTCATATTATTAAATTAAATTTGTATAATATGGTATACAAATTTTATAACACAAAGACATGTTCAATAGTTGAAATTTAACCTAAATACTTGATAACTACAACTATTGTAACTCTATGTTTCATTTTGGAACTTATTGTTCTATAATTTTTCGTTTCAAATCACTAATCGAACCTATCGTTAAAATTTTAGTCACATCGTTCTAAGCCGATCGAAGAACAATGTTGAACCCCATTGTTTTAAACCCCCCAATTAAAACAAGAGGTAAAACCCAACAACATAGATTTGGAGATTTTAAGGGTGTGATTTTAGGTTGTCAAAACTAAAAAGTTCCATTTGTGTGTGTCTGTTTTGTTACACAGCACAAAGAAAAGTGAGATGAAATTGGTCGGCAGAGGCCGCACCCACAACAGCCACTAAAGAGATCGAAACACAGCAGTGTTGTGTTAGTGCTGTTTGACTATGAAGAAGAGGATATGTTTTTGTTAACAATTCGGTGTGTCTGTCTGTCTGAAAATGAATGTCTGTCTCTTTAGTGCAAACTTTTGGGGGTTTTGTTTGGACCCTGCTCCCTCTTGCCCTTCACAACAACAAAAAGGCACAAAATGCTGCATTTTTTCTTCTCTTTTTTCACTTGGGTTTCTTTAGTTTTGTGTTTTCTCAAAAGGGTGTTTGAAAAATCTCATCTTTTTTAGTGATTCTTATGAATATTCATAAGAAAATAAGTGGGTGGGGTTCAATTGGTGCATTTTTCCTCTTTTTCACTTGGGTTTCTTTAGTTTCGTGTTCTCCCAAAAGGATTTTTGAAATATCTCGTGATGTTCATAACGTTAGAACCGTTACTCTTTACAATAGTATGATATTGTTCACTTTAAACGTAAACTCGTGATTTTACTTTTGGTTTCTTCAAAAGATTTCATACCAATGACGATAATATTACTTGTTTATAAACTTATGATCTTTTTCTTAATTAACCAACGTAAGATTACTACTCTCAATAATACTCGACAAATTAGTGGGTGGCTTCAAACGGTGCTTTTTTTTCTCTTTTCTTCTCTTTTTTCACTTGAGTTTCTTTAGTTCTGTGTTTTTTCAAAAGGGTTCTCGAAAAAATCTCATTTTTCTTAACAATTCGTATGAAAAATTCATAGAAAGATAAGCGGGTGGCTCTTCAAATAGTGCATTTTCCCTTTTTTCACTTGGGGTTTCGTGTTTTCTCAAAAGGGTTCTTGAAAAATCTCATTTTTTTGTAGAGATTCTTATGAATATCCACACGAACATAAATGGGTGTCTCTTCAAATCGATCATTTTTATGTTCCTTTTTGTTTTTGTTTAGGTTTTAGGAAGTTCTTGAGTTGCTTAGTTAGAATCAAATGAACTAAGTGCGTGTAAATGTGCTCTTTTGGTGTCTGTCAGATCAGGTTGGGAGTTTCTAGCTTCCTTTTTAGCATAAAAAGATGTTCTTTTCACAATGCCATTTGCCAATAATAATATTTTGATCAAAATTTGTTAATAATTTAAAATTTCTAAAACTTTTAAGAACAAAAATTTGATTGGATCAAAATGAAAATCTTTTTTGAATAATTAAATGTCAGTATGAACATATCATAAACTACAGGAACAATGTTGGAAATTGAAATTTAGAAACGCATTTTGATGATCAGACATGCACAATAATTAAAACCCTATGCTATGGAAGAGATAAGATTCCTCAATCATACACATTTTCATGTGCCATTTGACATTACACCATACCTAAACCATGACAAAACAACAAATCATTAATCAAATTAGGGTTTTTAATCAGCTATACCGACAATAATAGAATCATCGACTTTTAAAATGATCGGATGTCTGTATTTATTAATCTGCTTTTGATGGGACTAAAAGATTCACAAACCCATATATATAAAATTAGGATTTCCACTCATACCGACAACAATCGAATCATCGAGTAATGAGACGATAATTGGTATCAGTATTCACTTATCTATGTTTGAACAGACTACAAATTTACTAGGGTTTTTACTCAGTTATGCTAACAACGATTGAATCATGACTTTTGAACTTTTGAGACGATAATTGATATTTGTATTTATTGATTTGTGTTTGAACGGACGAAAAACTTAACAAACCCATATATATATAATTATGATTTTTACTCAGTTACGTCAACAACAATCAAATCAACTTTTGAGACGATAACTTTTTTATCTACATCTGAATTGACAAAAAACCTAACGGACCCATCTCTATAAAATTAGGGTTTCATTGAATCATCGACTTTTGAGATGATAACTAGTGTGTATATTAATCGAGCTATATATGAACTGTTTAAAAACGTAAACGAATCTATTATAAATTTGTTCGAACATCGATGCGATCCGTGCTAAACATAAGCTAAAGAAATAGTGGGATTTGTATTGAATTCAAATGTAAAATAATGAAGAGGGGAAGGGGAGACATAGATGGGTGGGGGGAACCACCAAGCAACCTATGGGAGAATGCATGATGGGGAAGAGGAAATTGAAGAATGTATATAGCTTTAATTATATCAGATTCTCAGTCACTTCCTGAAATCAGAGTGTCATATCATCCCAAAAAGCCTGCTTTTCTATTCAACTTTCTCTTTACCATTCTCAATATCATTCCCTTTCATCCTTGCTCCAATCACTACTTTTTCCCTCCCCTTTCCCCTATTTTGATTCAATTTATTGGAGTAAAAGAAAGAACGAGCGACTCGGTCGAGTTCAAATTTGATTGTTTGCAGTAGAATGCCTAAAGAATCTACGAGTAACGAGATATCTTTAATCGAAATGTCATAAGATATCCATGATAACAGTTCAAGCTCACCACTAGTAAATATTGTCCGTTTTGACCAGTTATGTATTGGCGTCAGTTTCTGTAACACCCAAGTTCTTAGCTAGCGGATGTTGTCATCTTTAGACTTTTTCTCCTGGGTTTTGTCTCAAAGTTCTAAAAATGGTACTAGAGCCCGACACCGGTGTGTAAGCATCTCTTAGTTAGCAGATATTGTTCTATTTAGGCTTTTCCTTCTGAGTTTTGTCTCAGAGTTTTAAAAATAGTATTAGAGCACGGTCGGTGTATAAGCATCTCTTAGTTAGCAAATATTGTCCTCTTTAGACTTCCCTTCTGGGTTTTGTCTCAAAGTTCTAAAACATCGGGTGGTGTGTAAGCAAGGATGTTGGGTCCAATAGGGGTGATTGTGAGATTCCACTTCGGTGGGAGAAGAGAACGAAGCATTGCTTATAAGGGTGTGGAACTTGCCCCAATAGGAGTGAATTGTGAGATCCCACATCGGTGGGAGAAGAGAACGAAACATTGCTTATAAGGGTGTGAAACTGGCCCCAATAGGGGTGGATTGTGAGATCCCACATCAGTGAGAGAAGAGAACAAAACATTGCTCATAAGGGTGTGGCATT